AACAGTGATCATACCAACCTAGTTTGGTTCCTATTCCTTCGAGTGAGTACAACCCTGAAACACGGGCATTATACAACAGAATTATTATACACGACGAACATTATTATTGAAGAATATACTGATATATAATTATATCTGTCTCACCTTCTATACGACGATACCTGCACGACTTGATTTCGTTCTGACCATTATCCGAGCGCTTATGCTAAGGCATAAGGAAAGACAATAATTTGCTGCACGGAGGAAAAATACTTCAACGTCTTTTCACGGCATTTCCACGGGACCCAGGGCTTTGACGTACGCTTGAGAGCCACGTTCACCCAAAAAGCTGAGAACAAAAGGGAAGAAACGGTCAACGACGCGAGCCAAATAAAATATATTTCGCCGAGAAATCCTGGCCGTAACACGCGTGTGACGTCGGACGACCGACGTTTATATTAGTATTTAAGCATGTATGTACTCATGGAATGCAAGGCATTATATACTCGAACGCATATGTAACCATAGATATAAGATATTAACCGATCCATGTATAACCATAGGTTTAAGGCACGTTATATTCGCATAGCACGTAAGACATATTATATCCAATGCTTAATCATATTTTATACCGCTTAGAGTTAGGACACGTATGTAATCAAATAACGTAGGAAACACTCGACATTACTTTCCCATAAGATAAGTCCTTTCCTCGAATCCTAATCTTATAAACATTATGTCGATAAACCCAATCCTATCGATCCTATAAACATCCTCCACATAACTCAATCCATAAACATCCTTCAAGATAAATTAACCATAATATCCTTATTGACTCCAGACTGTAACATCCGCTCACAACAAAACCCCTTTAATCCAAATCATTACTCCTCGATCATGTTTCGTAAACTGCCTTTAGATAAACTAAATTCCCTGTTATCAGACACATAACCATAACATCCTCTTACATCTGGTCCGAACGTTCCAGAACAATTTCGTTTGTCCACTATCGATATAAAAGCCACCCGATTCCATACCACCCAGCTTCAGTCAGCTCCAGTCTGCATACCGGTTACTTCGGAGACAGGTCATCCTGCCCCAGGGCCCTCCAACATCTACACAGTAATACCGGTAACCTCGGAGATAGGGAATCCTTCCCGAGGCCCGTCCGTCGATCATACATCCAGCAAACATCATACCAACCCAGTTTGATTCCTTCCGTCGAGTGAGTAGAAATGAGAAGCATATTATACACGAAGGTATTCATATCAGATATTATTGAGAATATATTGGCATTTATATATAATTATATTGTGTCACCTTTAATACTGAAAATACCTGCACGACTTGAATTGTCCTACCGAACCTCCGAGCTCTCGTGATAAATCACTCGAGATTATTTACCCAACTACAACGAGGAAATAGGATTATTTCAACGTCTCTTCAACGGCGATTCATCACGGACCCAGGGCCACGACATACGCTTCAAGAGCTACGCTAACCCGAAAGCTGAGAGGAAAAGAGAGAATATACAGTCAGCGAGGCGAGCGAAATAATATTTTTGTTAAATTATTAATAAATTTAGCATATAGCGACATCTTACAGTATTAGAAATGATGTGCGATGTTAGTAACAGAATAATTGAATATTAGAAACAGAATAATTGAATATTGTACTTCCGTCTTGTCGTTATGAAAATGTAAGCGTTCGTGATGTTTTATTTGAAGAAAAAGTAATCCCTGTTTAAATGGTTAACCTTTAAGTTAAAAAGTTTGTTGTTTGTGTTCTTTATTAAATAATTTGTTCGTGTTCAAAAGTGTATTATTAGTTTTGTTATTTTCCATAATTCTGATTATTTAACATGGTAGCAGAGCGTGGTTAATTTGAGGCAATCAGTTTATGGAAAAAGTGATAGAAAAGTTAAAAAGAACGAAGTGAAGAAAATAAAGACTTAATAAAAGAAAGAAAAATTGAAACATTAAATTAATTGAATAAAGTGCTTGAAGAAAACGCACAAGAAATAAGACGAGTCAATATGGTAGACGAATTCAAAATAACGCTACCAATTTTCGATGGAAAAGATTATAATACATGGAACAAGAGAATTATGATATTTTTTAAGATGAAAAAGTGTGACGAAATTATTAAACGAGAAAGAACAGAAATGGATAATGTAGCCGTGTGGAATGAGTTTGATCTGAAAACGATGAATTATATATATAGCGCATTATCAAATAGACAAATGGAATTTGTTAACGATGAATTAACAAGTTATGGAATAATGAAGAAATTAGATGGAATTTATTCGCGTGAATCAACTTCATTGCAAATTTGTATAAGAAATAAATTAGATAAAATTAGATTAAAAGATTATACTGAAATAAGTGAATTCTATGGTGAATTTGAAAAATCAATAATTGAATTGAAAAATGCTGGTGCCGTGGTAACTGAAAAAGAAAGAGTAAATTATATATTGAGAACATTGCCAAGTTCATTAAGTCATATTGGAGACTTAGTTGATGTTTTATCTGACGGAGATAGAACTGTAGATTATATAATTAATAAAATTAAAATATATGAAGATAGAGAAAAGGATGAAAATCAAAATTCAGCAATTAGAAGTGGAAATTAAAATGTGTTTAGAAGTGAGGTGAAAAGAGACAGAACGTGTTATAAATGTGGTAAATCGGGACATGTTCAGTATGAGTGCATGAGTCAAGGCAGCATTGGAAGTCACTGAAGAGGCTTGAGGGGAAGTTGGCAGCAGCAAGGACGAGGTGGCGCACGTTATCATCCTCAACAGCAGCGAGATGGCTACAGTCTGAACAGAGGCAGCGGTGGCAGTTTCAGAGGAGACTGTAGCAGTTTCAGAGGAGATGGTGGCAATTTCAGAGGAGACGGCTACAGTCTGAACAGAGGCAGTGGCAATTTCAGAGGACGAGGTGCTGGTCAATGAGGAAGAGGCTGTCAACAACGGCAAGATCGTCAAAACGCAGATCGAGGAAAGATGAGTTTCGTAACCGAGGTTGAAAAAAAGATAGGCTACAATGTTGAGGTAAACGAATCTGTAAATAAATTAGAATGGGTTCTGGATAGCGGTTGTACAGATCATATTATAAATGAAGATAAATATTTTGTAAGAGTCAATCATTTGAATAATCCGATAAGTGTTAAAGTTGGAGATGGTCGCATAGTTAAAGCAACAAGTGTAGGAGATAGGATATTGTAACTAAGTTTGTCACAAATTTTAATGAAACAGAAATTGAGTTAAAAGGTGTATTTTTTGTGAAAGAAATAGATAGGAATTTAATGAGTTTTGGAAAAATCGCGAACAAAGCCAAGATTGTTTCAATGGGAAGTACTTCAAAGATTT